CAAAACAAAATAAACAAAAGTTATTAGAGGGAGTGCAGACACAGCACCCGACACAGAATGCCTCCAGAGTAATCGACAGCTCAGCTGTGTGCGTTTATGAGCTTTATCTCTGCGTGCATGCAGGTGGGAGGTCTCCGTTCTTGAGCTGATGTTTCGTAGCACACACTCGGGGTCAGACAGGTGGAATGAATTAAAAAACATTGTTGTTGAATGAGATCTGGCAAGAAACCACAACTTTGTTCACCCTAGGCCAAAATGTTGTGGTGTGTGTGTGTGTGTGAGAGCCCATTTTTGGCTTCTTGCTAAAAAGCTAAAGATTACTATCAGTTAGGTTCAGATATGCATTGAGGCTGAGAGGCTCCAAAAATGTAGCCCTGCTGCTCCTTATTAACAAATGCATTCATATTAAAGGTGCTCTACTGGCTCCATATGATACACAAATAGTTTTGGATGATAACAGACGTACTCGAGTTGGAGTTGCAGTGTGTTTGTGTGTGTTTGTGTGTGGTGTGTGGTTGTTGTGTGTTGTGTGTGTGTGTTTTGGCGTGAGGTGGCGGAATAGCTTCATCTGAGGTCTGGAGAATACAGTCTGTGTTTGGGTTGTCCCTGTTGGCTTTGCTTTACACTTGAGACTATTCCTGTGTGAACGTAGACTATTTCTATCTCTCCGTGTTTGCTTCTGCTGAGTTACAGCGCAGCCTCTCCATTTGTACCCAGCCGGCCAGATTGAGTGGAAGCAGGACAGCCCCCAGGGGGAGCCACGTTTGGCTCAGCCAGTCCTCTTGAAGGGCCACTCGGGGGGGCCTCGGGAGAGCAACTCGGCCTCTATTAACAGCAGTGGAAGAGATGTAGATAGCTAGTGTCGTTCTGATTGTGTGTGTGTGTGAGAGTGATGTTGGTTCAGTCGGGCATTTCTGTTCTCATATTTTGGTTTGCTTCAGAGAATTAAAAAGATCAAATGTGAAGTTAGATTACTTTAGATTTGTGTGCTTAACATGAAAATTATAGGTGAAAATAGCTTGGGATAGTTTGTTTGATGTTTCCTTGTTTGCTTCCTCTTGTGTTTCAGGTACCCATCATACCCGTTGTTTTCTCCTCCTACAGCAACTTCTACCTACGGAAAGAAAAGCAGTTTAACTCGGGTAACTCAGCTTGATTTCCCTTATTTTTTTTCCATTTATCTCCATGCAAAAAGCTACTTGATGTTCTGTGGGACTTCTTTTATTTATTTATTTTTTGAAGTAATTTTTTTGGCCTTTTCATGGCCTTTATTGGGATAGTACGCTGTCAGAGAGCAGAAAGGGTTGCGTAGAGAAGAGAGGGATGACACGCAGCAAAGTGCCAAACAGGTCGGATTCGAACCCCAGCCGCTGCAGCAACTCCGTATATGGGTCGCCAGCCCTACCGACTGAGCCAACCGGGCGCCCGTTCTGTGGGACTTCTAACTGAAGTTTTTTTTCTGCCTCCGCAGGGACCATCAGATTGAAGATCCTTCCAAAGATCGAGACAAAGGGGATGACGTCAGAGGATATATCATCCCTCTCTGACAAATGCTTCAACGTGATGCGCTCTGCCTTCTTAAACATCTCTGAGTCCGTAACCCAGAGCAACGGGCCGCTGAGGCACTGAACATTTACCATACTCCCACCTCTTTTTCTCCTATGTCCCTGTCTAAGACCCATTCCTCCCCCAGACCTCCCCACTCTCCCCAGGTTGTCCCATTACCTGGCCAGGAAACAACATGACACAGGTCTCTTGTCATGAAATCTCTTCTTGTCTAGTTGACGCCTGGTCCAGTCCGCCTCTGGCCTGACCATACAGCACAGTCAGTCCCGACCCTCACTGTGCCTGCAGCAGCACCGGCAGCAGCGCTGCTCTGCACGCCGTGAGCGGAGTGACGGACGGCAAGCCGAACAGTATGGATGTGTGTTGTTCTTCATGCATGCCTTTTTGGATGGCTCTGTCCACCTTCACCGTTGCTTCGTTCTCTGGCTTTGGAAGCCTAGCTTTATTATTGTCTTACTTTATCACCATTTTGTACTTTTTTTGGCTTCTTATTTAATTTTTTTTCTCTCTGTCTGCCTTCTGTTTAGCAGATAAACCTTTTTTCTTTTCTGCTCATAAATGTCAGTGGATATTCATGTGATCCTCTCATGCTGCCTTTGTTTTAGTTATCTTTGGACGCTCTTGCGCACACACACACACACGCATACATGCACAGATGCACACATTAAGAGTACCCCATTTCCTTCCTTGCTTCCCTTTTAGTCTGTTCTCCCCCTTTCTGTATTCCAGTCTCTTGCCTAAAGACAAAAAGAGCGGGGTCTCCCAAGAGCGGTGGAGTGCGTGGAGGTGAGAGGTCGACACTGGTTGACCGTGGACTTCTTTGCTTCTGTCGCTATGAATTCAACTCTATATCCACATTGGCTCTTCAACTCAATAACCAATAGCTCCACGACATATTTTATGATGTCAGAAAGGAAGGAATTCAAGGTTACGAGATACAGTGCATAACAATAGCACCCATCTGTACTGATTTAATGGACTTGAGCGGACTGATCAGTTTTCAGTGTTGTGCATTGTTGGTGTATCATTGTTCATTCTTCCAGTTTTCTCCCCAAAAGGTTAGAAACACCCTGCGTGCAGCACTGAGCAGCAAGTCTTCTCGCCGTGTTCTGTATTTTTGCTAATTTTTTATTTATTTCTACATCGGATTATATAGTTTCTGTTGGGGTTTGTTTTTTTTTTTTTAGCTCCTCGGACGGAACTCACAAGTGAACCTATTTAAGAGGTGTCAAAAAGGTGATTTCATATTGTGCAATGTCAACTGTTTTATTAGCATTACTGTTCCAAAGTGCAAGCTACCTGCTGTGCCATGACAAAGTGTTTTTGGGAGGTCTCCAATTAAGCCCGTCATTCGCTGACTAATTTCACTTTACCAATGATATAATGTCCCTTTACCAATGATGTAATGCAGTCCTTGCTGTAGGGAAGAGGGTAAAACTTGTGTAGAATTGTGAATGATTTTATTTGTTCTGATTAACTTGAAGATTTTCTAATTACTAACAAACCTGACATACTCAAGTCTACATCTCAGAAGAGTTTAAGGGTTGTCCCTGTTTTTTTTTTTGTTTTTTTTTTTCAATATGAAAGTGAATAACATTGTTTTAGTTGTGACGTTCTGATTCAGTTGTTACTTAACCTCTTAGCAGAATATTAGATTATTTAAAAAGTTGTGGAAATTTTTGGCCTTAAGTTTGATTAGGTTGTTGTTGCTCTCGATCGATGATCAATTTCTGTTTTGTAATATGTACTGACGACAACCTCTAACCAGATAGAACTGACTGAACTGTTTTTAGTTTACATCCAGGTCTTAAATTTCACATTGCTCACTGCCTTTACTGCTTGCAAAATCACTCATTTTGCCGCTTCAGCCCGTCAAACACCATCTGAGAATGTATTTCAGCATTTGTGTACTACTAATTGCATCTTATTTTATTTTTACGAAGTTGTTGTATTACAGTGGGATGTTGTCTTACATACAGTTGGCAACAAATCCAGGAAATGTATTCATCATTTGACAATTAAATGTTAAATTTAGACTGACTTGTTGTGTACACAAACCTTCTAAGGAGATCATCTTGTGTATGGATTTATCAATACTTTGGTACTAAGCCTGTACACAGTTGTTTTAGTGATACATGCTGGGCTTTGGCTTTACATGTGATGGTCACGGTTTCATTTATATTAAAGGCCACTATAAAATATATGCCCCTACTGATTCTAATTAATCAAAATCTATATTTTTTTTTTCGTAGTTTGAATATATTTATTGACTTTTCTTATCTGTAAGAGCAGATTTGACTGAAATTGAATTGAATGTTATAAAGTACTCTACCAAATTGATTACTTCCAAAATATGAACTATACCATATACATTTTGCTAATGGAGTGTGTTTATCCATTTATTTCCAGTTCAGTTCTCGGGTTATTTTGTAATACAAATGTGTGATTTGTAAGCTTTGTGTCATGAGCTTGAACTGGTGGCTCACAGGCTCTGCAGCAACTCTGCTGTTTTTTTTTTTTTTTATTTCTTTAGGCAGTTGTTTACGAACTTCTAAGATATTGGAAAAGATTCTGAAGTATTCTGAACCTTAATAAAGCACTTTTCATGCTGAGTTTGGGTGGAAAAATAAAAAGGACTTCAAGTTTTCTCTGATTTTCACCAAAGCTATTAAAGTGTAATTGGTGGTAGCTTTTAGATGGATACGAGAAACAGAGCTGACATCCTGCAGAGTCTTGTATGTGTGTGGTCCCTTACTGTATGTGTGTGTGTGCGTGTGTAAACATGTACACATGGTATAAATGCCCATTCTAGTACCTGGTTAATATTGATGATGTAGTGTTCTTGATTTCACCTATTCTGGGTAAATGTGAATGCCTTGCAAAAGAATAAATAAAAATTCATTCTTTTTTTCTTAAGTGGTTTTGCACTGACATGTCTCCTCTGTGATTTACATTACAGTCAGTGGTGTTCATTTACTCAAATACTATACATAGGTACAGTTTAGAGGTACTTGTGTATTTCCATTTTCTGCAACTTTATACCTCTACGTCACTTCATTTTAGAGTGACGTTTTACTCCATTACATTTATCTGATTGCTTATTTGTAGATTTGCATTTTAAATAGTGTCCTAAGTCTTATTTTCTTAAAGTGACGTTGATGCTATATATTAAGACAATCTGAAAAGTCCCATCCTGCACTTGTAATTTTGATATATTAATTACAGTTTGCTGATAATGCTTTTACTCTTAAGTAAAACTTAAAATATAGTATTTTAACAATGCCGTATTGGTGCTTTTACTTTTGTAAAACCTCCTCCACAGTGATTCCAGTACATATATAGGAGAGGTCAACAGGAGACATCCAGTGTTGTGTTAGCTTAATGGAGAGTTTGTTCTATCTTGTATCAGCAGTGAATACAGGGCCGTGTATTTGCAAACATTACTCAGTAATCTCTTCATATTAGTGAGCACACATAGTGGTTTTGATTAAGATTTTTTTTATTACAAAATGTTACAAAACTAGGTAAAAATGTCTATTGGAGCACTGAGAAATAACTAAAAGTAATCATAATTTAAATAGATAAATACAGATGTCCAGGACACAGCTGCACTGATGCAAAACAAACACAGAAACAGAAGTGGACAATTTGACCTTTGACCCTCAGGGGGTTTTGATTCATATGTCAAAGGGATGACGTAATGCTAAAAGTGACCCTGCCACAGGTACTGTTACATTATCAAGAATTTGACAGTAATCCAACATGAAAAGTAAATGAAGCCGTTGGGGAAGAGTGAAAATCACAGACGATTTGTGCGATGATTGTGTCACGTCATAGCCAGCCATCATGGTGCGTACAATCTCTGGCATTGTTCACTTCATGGGAGATGTCTGGAAATGTTGGGGGGGACGTGTTCGGTGGCTAATTCTCCTGGCAAGAACCTGCAGGGGAGAAGAGTGACGAGAGTTACGATAATGCATTGCCTACTGCCCAAAGGTTTATGGTAGTGATTGTAACACTGAATGAAATCAGTTCTATACCATTTGACTAGACTTTTGTATCATTGTATGCGCTGTAACTGAGGGGAATTTGCAAATTAAAGATTGTTGGTTTAAGATTTCATGATCTGAAGTCCCAAAATGTAATAATTGACCATAATGTAATAAAACCAAATGTGATAAAGCTCATAACATAATAAAAATCTCCAACGTGGAGTTTCTTGGTCAGGATTCCATGTTGCGATGCCTGATATGGAAATAGGATACAGTTCACGGTAAAACTGAATAAACACATGTGCCCTTAAATTTAAAAATATATATATAATAGCATGAATTAATGTGCATTAAAAAACTGTAATCTGATTTTATAGACATAAATTAAAATGCTAAGAAAAACAAGCTTGGTTTGATAGACACCTTTACTTTCTCTATACTGTACATCCTACTTATTATTCATCAGTTTCACTGGAATAAGCAGTCACTATTAAGTACTGGGCAGTGTGTCAATCAAAGGCCATGCCCTGAGTGACCTCCAAGGCCGCTGCACAACTGGGCATGTGCAAGAGGCTGCAAGTTTATGCTGCAGTCAGCACTTTCACAGGGAGTTGAAAGTTTGATGACGGAGGCAAAAAAAGAAAATGATTATAAAATAATCATTTGTTGCACACGTTTTTATTAAATTGTGTAATTTGTAACTTCATGTACATGTACCGTTGCAGTGAGAGCATCGAAGAGTGCATTGTTTAACAGTTCCTAGGTGATATTTAAACGACTGACACGACCAGTCCGTGCATATGTTAAACAATGACCGCTTGACTTCAATAATAAATGGTGCACAGAGATGTGGATTTTTCTTTTTTTTTGTGATCAAACCAGGATTGTTTTAGCAGAACTACTGACGTGTCTGTAGGAATGGGAATGTCAGTCCACTTTGGTCCAGGTTCCGGATTGAAATATTTACTACTGGATGGATTGCCATTGCCAAGACTTTGTACAGACATTCATGGTTCCCAGCTGACTTGACTTTCCCTCTGGGACCACTTTGAGGATGACATTTCTGGTATTGAGTCAAACTGTCTTGTCAAGCTTCTAGATTGAATGCCATGAAATTTAGTAGAGACTTTGTGTTTCCCTCAGGGTTAACTGTAATAACTCTGGTGATCACACCATCAGGTCAAACTATTTAAAAATGTCCAATACTATGGTTTATGACCAAATACCTGCAAAACCAACATTCCCATCAGCCTCAGCTTTTAGTGCTAATAAGTGAATGTCAGCATGCTCATTTTGGCCTTGTTGTTAGTATTCCAAGGTTAGCATTTGGTCCAAAGCGCCTCAGTGGTTAAGTACGGCTGCTAGCGTGGCTGTAGACTCTTGTTAGATAATCACTAATGTCTTAATTAGGTTAAAATTTCACTTATAGTTTGATCAAATTTTAAAACTATCATTGAACTTATATCATAGCCAAAAAGGTTATTACGTTACAGACACAAGATTTTATTATGTTATTTGATTTTTATTAATATGGGCTGTAATACCTTTTATTTTATTACATTATGAACAATGGTTACATTTGGGCTTTTTTATAAGGTCTCTGATCTTTAATAAGAAGTTCAAATGTCCTCAGCTAAAAATTGGATTTTCCCTCCTCTAAGTGCTCTTTTCACTCACATGTGCCGAGGCGCTCCTCCAGGAAGCCAATCTGCTCGCTGAGGGAGTCGATGCGGTCCAGTTGCTGGAAGGAGTGGGACAGTAAGGTGGTTTTCTCCGACAAGCCCTCGTCCAGCGACAGTGGGAAGAAGCTGCTGAAGGGGGCCAACACCAACTGCAACTTCTGCACCGAGGGAGAAAGAGGAGAGGAAATGAGGGAACAGAGAAAATTGCTCCAGAAAAAAAGAGACTATTACTCACCTCGTAAACAAAACAAAATCAACGTGACCTAGTTATGCTTCAACAGCTAATCTTCATTTACTCTTTCTGCTTGTTTCACTAAACACAGGTTCACAGGTTCTAATAAAACCCATAACATTTTTAAAAAGCCACTGTGTAGGTCTGGCATTTCAAAGACTCTTTCGTTTGTGGATTTTATATCATACCATCATACAAGGACTAGAGGTGTTCCTGGTGTGCGAGGCTGGGAGGTATCAGTGTAGGTGGCTTTTATTTGGGTTTGAACGTGTATCATGTACCTTTTCCAGGAGTTCTACTCTGTTCCTCAGGCTCTGTACCTCCTCCGTCACATTCTCCACCACGTTGAACCTTCCACCTGTGGAAACCAGACAAATGTACACATATATATATCAGAGGATGTTGACGAACTAAGTGAAGAGGGGTGGAGAGAAGGGTTAGGGCACAGATCTAATGCAATAATTGTGTTTAAACCTCTCTCTCGGGTCTAAAGTTTATATCTTAGAAGATTCTTTCGAGCAGCCTGTCCTCATCAGTCCCTCTTCTTGAATGATTCATGGCCACAGCGACGTCTCCGAACTACAAACCAGGAAGAGGACGGCAGAGCTGCGGGGAGGCCGGGGGAATTTAGGGCACGGAGGGGGAATCATGGATATGGGAACGGCCGGAAAAAGCCGACACACAATCTGAAAGAGAGGTCGCCAGAAATAGACGAGCGCTCATTCATCCCTCTTGTGAAAATGCATCGGTTACGGGGGAGGTGCCTGCTTGGCTCCACCCGAGGGGAATGTCCCTGGAGCAGGCAGGACCCAGATCGGGATGCAAAAAGTAGGGACCCCCTGCTTTCTGGCAGACAGACCCAGAGCGGCTCAATGTCTCCCAGATGTGGTCCATTATCGAGACAAGAATGAGTTGAGAAACAGGGTGAGGAGGAGGAAAGGAGGGGAGGGAAGGAAAAGGAAGGGGGC